GTAGAGTCAGGCGCCTCAGGGCACTTATAACTCTGCTTATGCAGCACGTACACGCTCCACTAATCCTCCAACAAGGATGCGGGGAGAGCGTCTTCGAAGGAAACGCGTTTGGTATCTTTTGAGGGGACCAACAGCTAAAACGACGACGCGAATCTCTGATCCCCCGAAAACCCGCTGCTCCAGCACTGGCCCAGGTCTTCACAACCATGGTTCTGCTCGCAAGTAAACGGCCTTACAGGTTTAGGTTGAGCTTACGCCCAGGGTTTCGGATCCAAGCTGGGCTAAGAACTGTCTTTAAAGGGTTTGGGGTTTCGGGTGTCAGCTTCAGGGTTGAAGGGGAGTTTAGGCCTCTCGCGATGGCAAATACATGGAGCCCGGCATCCTTTCAAGAACCTCCTCTATGAAACCCGAGAGCAAACCTTAGGGTTTAGGGTTTAGGGTTTAGGGTTTTGGGTTTTGGGTTTTGGGTTTTGGGGTTTGGCTTTGGGGTTTAGGGGTTTGGGGGTTTAGGGTTTAGGGTTTAGTCCAAGAAGAAGAAGAGTCCCTCTTGGAGTCCACGCCGTACATCCGGTTGGCTGCTCATGCCGAAGACTTTCAAGTCCTGGGGGGGCTCTTCGAGGTTTATACGGGTGATACTGTTGATGATATAAATCCTCAGCAGTACCTTAAGGACCCTAAACCATGGGAATTAGGGTATATTCCTTAGTATGGGGTAAAGCAGGATTTATACCATCCACCGTATGGGAGGTCCTTTCAAGGGCTCCACAAGGGCTCTGTACTCACTTATCTAAGGCCGCTTCAGAGACCATCCGAGCCTTTATGATTTTGGGCTTGAGATTCCGAGTTCAGGTTTTGGGTTTGAGGTTTAAGGTCTAGGAAATGGGGTTGTGGGAGAACCCGAAACGCCAAAGCCTGATGGCTTGGATATTCAAGTTGAATATGGGAGACTGGGAGACTTGATAATTACGGTTGATGGTATAAATGTTGCATTACCCGCAATAAGGACTGTACCATAATTCCCATAGTTTAGGGTCCTTAAGGTAATGCAGGATTTGTATCAACCGTAGGACAGTGTGTAGGGCTACGTTCTAGCATTGCCAAGTCTTACTAAGTATTCCGACCTCTGCTCTGTTTTCGGTTTCAGGGCCTGGTGCTTAGGGCTGGGATTTAGGGCTTAGGGCTTTGGGGCTTCATGGTGGTTGTTGAAAAGCTTCAGATAACAACAGCTTGACCCTGAGGACATGCATTCTCGAGTTATCTCAAACTTGACCGTCAGGATACACATTCTCGAGTTTCAGGCTTGTGGTCAGGAATGCCAAAAGCTCGAAAGGCCAACTCTGACCTCCGCCACTCCGAACAAAAACGGCTGCTCCGTGTCCTTGGCGCCAAATGCGCGGGAGTATTGTAGCTGCATAGGCTGCTCCCCAAGTCCCTGCCAGGCATTGAGATTGATACCCCAGCCTAAGCTAAACCTAAAACCCCATAAACCCTGAACCCGTAAACCCAAAAGGATTCTAGAAACCATTCGAGGGACCCTACACTGTCCTTGGAGTAATTAGCCGTAAACCGCTGATGTTTCACTGTTTTTGCAAGGTCTCAAGGGGATGCCGTTTGGAATATCATACTTCTGAAATAGAGTGAGACTAGGGTCCAGGGTTTACGGTTTGGGGTTTTGCAGCTGTGCGGATGCCTTTCTGCTTTGACCATGTACTCTAGGAAGTCTGCAGAATCACTCAACTCTCTTCGGGCTCAGGCTATTGCCTTCTTCTGTTACTCTTGCGACACGAACTCATACACGCTGTGTAAGACACACACACACACCCCTGTGCAACATCTGGTTCAGTTGGTGGCTCTCCAAACCTCTTCCGTGGATTCAAACTTAGGCGAGGCTTTTGCTGCAGTCTAAACAGAACCGTCTGGAGCAAGCTGACGTTTCTGCTCTAACCGAGACTAGACATCCCTAAGCCCCGAAGCGTAAATCTCTAAGGTCAAGAAGGCTTCTTGCAACGTGCACTTCCCTGGACTTCCAATCAATCTGAGCTTGGGGCTACTAGCTAATGACTCTAGGTCCTTTCCTTTAAGGCATTCTTGTTGAGTGTAGTTCTTGACTACTTTCGTTGCTTGCTGAGGTGATGCTCAGGTTTCTGGAACGAAAGATTGACTCTAAACTGCTGCCCTCTTTTATCCTTCGTCTTGCAAGAGCCTTCTGTACAATCTCGAATTATCGCGTGCGATCTCTACGCAACCTCACGGCATCTCTCAGCATCTGCACCTCAGCGTCTCAAGCCCGAGCACTTAACCATCGAGCCCTAAAGCCTTGCTGCCTGTAGCCCAAGCCCCAAAAACCGAAAACCCTAAACCCCCTTAAACACTTTGCCCTCGAAGTCCTAAAACGCGAACCCTAAACCCTCAACAGCTCAAAAGTCAACCCCGATTCGGCCCAAAGCCGAGGGCTACTGTTGATGATATAAATCCTGCATTACCTTAAGGACCCTACACTATGGGAATTAGGGTATAATCCTTATGATGGATAATGCAGGATTTGTATCATCAACCGTAGGATTCAGGGCCAGGCCGGTCTCTAGTGACAAACCCCCTGGCCTGTTGGGGTCCGGGCCGAGGTCTAGGTATGAGGGTGAGGGCTACGGGGTTGGGGTTGAGGGTTTAGGGGTTTAGGGGTTGGTTTTTTCGGGTTTTGGGGTTTAAGGTTTTTTGGTAGTACGTTATTTGTCAATCGTGTTAGATGGAATGCTTCAACGTGTGTTTCTGTCCTGTCCTATGTTCCTCCAGATCATGGCTGGCTGCTTGCCAGCTGCTTTCGTTCTCCGAACCCCAAACGATGGCAAGTGCTACTGCTGTCACTGCTCTCGTTTCCGCTATACTGACTCTTTCTTCCATTGATCATACATGTAGGTATTTACTGCTGTTATTTCGGGTGAGTTTGCTCGTTCAACTGCCAACTTCCGGTCGCCTCTGTCGCTACTGTACCATTACCAAAGAGGCAGGTGCTCGAACCCCGGATGCTGCGATCGATGTCTTCGAACCCTGCAAACAACGTTTGACAAAGTGGATTTACAGTCTTCGCTTGTAGGGCTTCTGCATTTTGACCACACAAAAACAAACAAACACCTGGAATTCCCAAGCAATGGGAACAGAACAACACGAGGCGAAGTAACAACAACAATGTCGACGATACAGCCTGCAGCTGTTGATGCTGCCGCTGCTGCTGCTGTCACTTACTACCACTCCTCCTTCTACTATACACTAGGCTTGGTTTAGCGCCCCTAAAACTTCTAAAGCCATAGCTTCTTAGAGCACTCTGCGTATTTGGTTCCTTCAAGCACTGCCACTGATCCTACTGATGAGCATAGTAAGGAAGTGATGCTGGAAAGCAGACACCTCAAAAGCCCAGCCTAAACCCAAAACCGTAAACCCGAAGCACATTACCCTGAACCCTAAGCCTAAACCACTAAACCCCTAAACCCCTAAACCCTAAACCCCAAAAACCCTAAACCCCAAAAACCCTAAACCCCGAAAGCCCTAAACCCCAACAACCCTAAACCCCAACAGCCCTAAACCCCAACAGCCCTAAACCCCCCAAAAACCCTAAAAGCCCGGAGTCTCTGAAGGCCTGAAGACCTAAGCGCCCACACACGCCCGGGATGGAGGCCGGCCCACTGGCCTTCAGAAGCTCCGGCTTTCGTTTTGGGGCTTAAGGTTTAAGGATGAGAGCTTTAGGGTTCAAGGTTTCAGCCTTCAGAAGCTCCGGCTTTCGCATGGCGTTTTGGGGTTAGGGCTCAAGGTGTTTTTGTTTTTGAGGGCCTGTCTTATCAAGGTTTAGGGTCTAAGGTTTAGGGCTTTAGCGTTCAATTTTTAGGGTCTAAGGTTTAGGGCTTTAGGGTTCAAGGTTTAAGGTTTAAGGGTAAGGATTCAAGGTTTGTAGGGTTTAAGGTTTTTTTGTTAAGGCGTACTGGTGTCTTTCTGCGAGAGGGTTTAAGGTTTAGGGCTTTAGGGTTCAGGGTTTAAGGCTTTGGGGCTTTCGGGTTTAAGGTTCAGGGTTACGGTTTTGGGTCGCCGGGTTTCTAGGGTTGAGGGTATCAACCCAAGGGTTTACGACCCAGGGCTCAGGGTGTCGGGCTTTGGTTCACGCTTGGGCCTGGGGTATAGGGTTTAGGGTTTAGGGTTGAGGGTTGAGGGCTTAAGGGTTTAGGGTTTAGAGTTCTTCAGGCTGTCGGAAAGGACGAGTCCTACAACATCGAGAAGCAGTGGTCGATGCCGTAAGCCCTAAATCCTAACCCTCAAACCCTACACCCCTAGATCCCAAGCCCTAAACCACATCCCTAAACCCTGAACCCCTAAACCTTACACGACTACGGCCCTACGCCCTAATATAGGGACCTGATCAATATATTGGGGTTATAGGGCCAGGGTTTCTTAATCAGGTTCCTACATTAAACCCTTACAACCGTCGGATTTTGGAGCTTCCAGCGGCAAAGGCCTGCAAGTACTGCACGCAGGGGAGCCCAGTGGGCACGCACCACCGGATCCTTCGAAAGAGGCTGCGCCAGATTCTTGGTTTCATGTAGAGGTACTCATAGGCTTCTACTCCATAAGTTCAGGAGTAGAGGTTTATGGTCTGGGCTCTGCATTTTAAGGGGGTTCTAGTTCTTGTGGTTGGTCTTGCTTGGGTGTTTCGGCTGGTATGGTAGTTAAGGGTTCAGTTTGCCAGGTTTGCATCCATTACGGTTCAAGCTTTCGAAATTTTGGACTAGTATTGGGAGCCAAGAAGAATCTGACTTTCGGTGTTGAGGGTGTGGAGCCATGTCGGCGTTTAAGTTTAGTTATGGGTTCAGGGCCCTTCGGAGAGCCAACAGAACTGAATCATTAAGGAGCCGGCAAGGAAAGATGTACATCGAAGCTATTATGGCGACACTCGTGACCTTAGACCCTGCGTCCTATCCCTATAGACCCTAGACCCATAACCGCGTCTCTCAGGCATCCTTGTCGGTTGGATCTTCGTGCGGAGGAGCCCAGCCCGAATCCGTGATCTCGAAATCGAGGTCTGCCCGCTGGCAGCTCACCTGGAAACAGAGATGAGACATTGGTTTATGCTTGAGTTGATTACGTGATACACCTCAAGTTGCACTTGGGGGCCTTATATCTTGTAATTTGACGTAAATTTGACGTAAACTAATATTCCTCAGTAGAACCCTTAACTAAGGAATATTTGCGCTCTCTGGGGGCCAAGAAACAAAGTAGCAACATGCACTGCTGACTTTTGGGTTTGGGGTCTCGGGCATCGGGTTGAAAATATGCAGGGTTCAGGGTTCAAAATTTTTAAGTCTGGGGTTTAGGGTTTCGTGTTCAGGGACTGCTACACGCAAGTCTCGCAGGCTAAATCCTAAACCCTAAGATCCCGAAAGCCTAATGAGACCTAAGAGCCATAACGAACCTGAAGCTCGACAGCTCTAAACCCTGAACCCTGAACCCTGAACTGTTGAACTCTAAGCCCCGAACCCAAAACCCTAAGCCCAGAAAGCCCAAACTCAGGAGAACCCAAACTGAAATGCCTCGGCCAGGATGTAGCGACACCCGAACCTTTCCTCATCTAAGTGGAGACCTGCAGAGATCTCAAGATTTAGGAGACATAGGGCCTTTAGCTTCCTGGGTGTAGGGGAAGTGCTATGTGTAGGGTTTAGGGGTTGAGGGCTTTGAGTTTCAGGTCAGGGCTCAGGGCTGAGGGTTTCTGGTTCAGGGCTTATGAGAGGTTTTAGAGTTTAGGTCATGGGCGTATAGCCGGGCTTCTAGGGTGACGTAGTGATGGACTTTCCTTCGGGCTTTCTGAGTTTAGAACTTTTGGATCTTAGGGCTCAGGATCGTGATAGGACTCAGCCAGTGGGCTAATTGAACTGCACTTCCAGGTGCAGCTGTAGCTGGGATAATCTCAACTTAATGCTTCTGGCTCTGCTTAGAACTCACTGAATCTGCTGACCCAGCCAGCATTCGAGGCCTACGGCGTAGATTCTTTGGCCTAGTTAAAGTCTAAACCTCGGGGTCTTGGGCTCGAGGCTTATAGGACAGTAGGTGTGATTTGGGGTGCGAAGGATTCCGGCAGAATGTTCGGACCTTAAGATCGGGTGGATGGCGCGGCGTTCCGATCGGTTGTGGCTCCAGCGCTTCATTACACGTGCTTGCGGCATCTTGAACTCGTGAAATCGTTCACCCACAGCTTCGGTGCCTGTGTACAGGTTCAAGCGATCCTGCCGAATGCCCGTTTCTTCCAGAAGCCTCAGAGCGAGGAAAAAGAAGATCAAGAGAAGGGCACACGATGATACCGAAAAACACAAGCGTTTGCAAGGGGAAATGCAGTAGCCGTAGTGGTCGTCGGGGTGGTGGTGCGGCAGCAGCAGGAGCCGTTGTCGTCGTCTTGGTGACCGGTGGTAGTGGCAGCGGGTGGAGGATTGGGAGGTTACTGGTACTGGAAGTGATGGCTGTGGTTGTTGCGAGCTACACCAACAGCAGTAGCATTAGAAGTTGTGGCATGAGCCGTGGCAGCAGGACTGGCACTCACGACAGAAACAGGAGTCAGAGTCTTAGTGGTCGTCGTCTTCGAATCGTCGCGTCGGCGGCGGCGGTGGCGGAAGTGGTGTTGATGGTTGTGGTTGTGGTGGTAGGCTAATCGAATAGAACCCTAAAAAACCCAAACCCCTCGACCCTACTGACCCTCCACGAGCCAATCGCATGAAGCTCCTGCTGCACAAACGATGCTCTTCCTGGTTGTACGCATCCTAAACCCCGAAACCAAGTCCCTCATACTTTGAATTTCAAACCCCCATGTTAAAACACAAGAAGACACCAAGTTCCTGATGCGAACACCCGCCACTACATCGGCCAAGCTGCTCCCTGTAAGCACAGTCCAACACAGTTCTGTCTGAGAACTTCCTGGGATCGGATGTACCGGTTCCGTCAAAGGCTCTATAAGTCTTCTAGAAGGTTTCGTTGAAGGTCTACAAGGGTTGAGCATGAGCTTAAGAGAGTCCAGGAGGATTTCTAGCGGTCTTATATGGCTTCTTCGTTACTATGGGTTGCCCGAAAGGCTTTGGTAATGCTTTGGTTTTTTGCTGAGGGCTAGGGGTCTAAGGGTCTTTGGTGTCTCAAGACTAGGGGCTCAAGACGGTGCCGGATGTAGGGTTGAGGGTTTAGGCTTTAGGGTCTAGGCCCTAAACCCTAAACGAGTCTAGGATTGAGGACTTAAGACTTCGGGTGGACCCCTCCACGACCTGTGTCCTAAGTCCTCAAACGTTTAGGATACATGGTTTAGGTCCTAGGGCTTAATGATTGGGGGCTTGGGTCTAGAGTTATTAGAGTTTGAAGGTTTCGGGTCCCCCAAACCCCAGGCCCCTCAAGCCCAAAACCCTGCACCCCTAAACACTCGGTCGCTAAAACCTTCCGAATGAATTCTTACATAGTCCTTGAACGAATCAGACCTGCAATACCCTGAACCCTAAACCCTAAACCCTGAACCCTAAACCCCTTAACACGTTCTTCTGCAGAACCGGTGCGCACACAGCCAAGTAGCTTGCCACCCTTGGGGAAGCTCAACTTCTTGCTGGAGGACTCGACCAGGCAGACATACACCTAGGTTTAGGGTTTAGGGTTTAAACGTTTAGGGCTCTCATTCTTGAGTGGTGATGGGAGGTGTAGACTTGAGCGCTTAGGTGTTACGATTTAGGGTGCGGGATTTGACCTTGTGAGATGCGAAAGTCCTTTCATGCCACCCATTAAGCCTCGAAGCCTCCCCCAGACGGCGCTGCGGGTCCATCGGAAGGTTCTGAAAGTTCGGGGTGCCTCTAGTGATCTGATGGAAAAGGTCCCACAGCGCGGCTGAGGGTTCAAGCTGCGAGTCTATTGGTGAGTAAGCCTGAAGCGCTGTAACATAAGGACCTGCAACAATAGATGAGGGTTCTGCGGGGCTTTGTTCTACCAGAATCTTGGGCCACCCTGAAGAACACTGCTGCTGGTTATTCACGCCCCTGACTACATCTTCAAGTTTACGAAGCCATGTAGTTACCCAAGATTCTCCCAACTCCCATGCTCAAATCCTCAGCGGCAATTTGCAATCGCCCTCAACCTCAAACCCAATCTCTCACCTTCCTTCTCCAGACCGACTGCTGAGCACCTCGCCGATGCCTCCGATGCTGCATCCGTGCCCTGAAGCTTGGTCACAACAACTCCAAGAGCAGTATACAAACATCCGGATGCCAGTTGTCTATAGCCTCAGATACCTGACGAAAGCCATGGGTCGCGTCCATTAGCATGGCATGAACTGGTAACATTGATGCAGAAATCCTTTGGATGCAGCTCTTATTGGTCCTCTCTCAAGAATCCCTTTTGCTTCCTACGACTGAAGAGCTCGGGGGGCCAGCTAAGCCGATACATAGGCAAGACAATAAGCAACCCATAACAAGCAGCAACTCCTTGCTGAAGACACCCCAAACCCTTAAACCCTAAACCCCTAAACCCTAAACTTAAACCCTAAACCCTAAACCCCTCAACCCCTAATCCCTAAACCCTTTAAACTTAAACCCTAGACCCAACAAAGCCCTAAAAGCCCCTAAACCCCATACCTCTCGCTTCACCCTCGCCTCCTCCGGCATCGATCGGAAGGCGATCACCCCGGCTCCCCGCGGTGGCCGGCCGCGCCAGTTTCCCCCCGACAGGGCCGGGACCTCCGCACTCAGGGTCTTGTGCTCAGGGTGGTTGTCTTCGGTAATTAACGAAAATAAACATAATAATAAGAATAATAAGAATAACAAGAATAATCATAAAAACAACAGTATGTGTATGTATATATATATTTTTTTTATTTATTTATTTGTATGTCTATTTTTGTTTTCGTATGTACGCAGAGGGAGAGACAGAGAGAAAGAGATAGAGCTGTGTACGTAGGGGCTTTGTGTTGTGTTGACGCGTTGTTAAGGTGTGGTCCGGGAATGTTTGGCGGCGTATATACCTATTCAAAGGCTCAGAGGGTGCACGGTTAGGCGAGTGCTGAAATTCTCCAAGAGACTTCGAAAGCTAGCCTGTGAAACACGGCATTATGACTTGTTGACCGGGTGATGTGTAGCCGTGTTTTCGGAGGAGAGCTCCATGTATGACACAGCAGCGATTGATTTCAAGGGCATGACGGGCCATCAAGGGTCAAAGGCAGAAGTCGAATTTCTCTGCGCATGCTTGCCTAGTTCAGCTAAGCCCCTAGAATGTTTTCGGAACCGGTTGCTGCCATCTATGAAGCATAACGGGTGTTGGGTAACACAGTGACAAGACATCCTGAATGTAAGTAATGTACCTGTTCAATTTCAGATCCTAGGAGCGACATTTTACCATGGTGACCACTACAATGTCAGTGCATGTTCACTGCTGTATCTTTTAGCGAACTTAAGTGTGCATTTTAAATTTAAAACTGTCGGAACCATTACTAGAATGTGGGATCAACAGCGAGACTGGCAAGCATGTACGGTTTAGGGTTCAGTTCCAGCTCTAGCCGTAAGCCACAAAACATCCCAAAGCCTCGAAACACCTTGCATCCCTAAGTGTGACTCCACAGGCACGAAGCTTAAGCCCAAAACGATTACAGTCCTAGGCCCTGCACAACCCTAAAGCTACACCCGGAATCCCTCAACCCTAGACCCCACATCCGCGGACCCGAAGCTGCAAATTCCCAAACCCTCAGAAGCCGTCATGGAGGTGCTGAAGAAACAAAGAGACAACAAAAAGGTTGAAACCAAACATGATAATTAAGGTAGAAACATACTTGAATGCAGACACAATCAAACAAATGAATCACCAGACAACAAGTGGGAAGTTCTCTAAATTGGGGTCCCATTTTAGGTCCCAAATAAGCCGAATTTAGAGAACTGCCCAAGTACACAAACCCATAAAAAATCTGAAACAAACAAGTTTAGGGGTTCCCTAAACCCAAACCCCAAACCCCAAACCCTAAAAGATTAAAAAAAACAAAAACAACAAAGCGAGCCTCGGGCCAAGAGGCCCGCTGCGCCGCCTGCGAGGCCTTCAGGGTTTATATAAGGTCAAAGACTAGTCCTTGGGGTTTAGGGGTTTAGGGGTTTAGGGTTTAGGGTTTGAGGTCTACCAACTACCCCCCAACTACCCTCTATCCCTACCCTAAATACCCACTATTAAGGACCATAAGGGCCCTATTAAAGGGCTTAGGGTCTCTATTATACCCGAAATACCCACTATTAAGGACCATAGGGGCTCTAAGGACCATAAGGGCTCTATTCTACGCTAGATACCCACTATTAAGGACCATAAGGGCTCTAAGGACCCTATAGGGCTCTATTAAAGGGTACGTTTGGGGGGATGCTGGTAGGGGTTTAGGGTTTTGGGGTTTGGTCTTGCAGCGAGCCCTTTTTAGTGAACCCCCGAAAGCTGGAACATGCAGTTAGGACAATAAGTGCTAGGATTCCCTAAGCTTAACCCTAAGGGCTTGAGCATAATTGCTCCAACTTTCTGGCTTCTTCTGCTTTAGAGAGATTTGGGGCTGCTGATGGGGTTTAGGGCTTTGGGCTTTGGGCACTTAAGGTTCAGGGATCGCGGTGTGAGCTTTAGGATCAGGGTTTCGTGCTTGAGTTTTCTTGGCGTGCATTCATAGGATTTCGGACTGAGGATTTGGGGAGTTGGGGGCAAGGACTGCGCGCGGTCCTTTCAGCACCTTCTGGCAGAGTCGGCGAGAGAGCTGCGGCTGAGGAGGATTAGGATCTAGGGCTTGGGGTTTAGGGTTTATGGTTCGTGGCGTGTGTTTGGTGTGTGTATGTGTGCACGTACATGAGTTTGTAGGGTGGGGCTTCTGGGGCTCTGCGGCTCTGGGGCTTTGGGTTCAGGGTTCTGGGAGGTCGTGCGGGGGGACGCGTATGTGGGTTAGGGTCTTGGATGTTTGGTTCGGGGCTTCGGACGTAGCTTTAGGGTTTTGGTGGAGGGGCGTAGTGGTTCAAAACCAATTCAGGAGCGTTTTATGGCATGCTCTATAAACCCTAAATCCTAAACACTGAATCACTAGAACCTTAACTGTAGAATTACCTTGCCAACCGAGTTTGGTGGGTTTAGGATTTCGGGAACCCTCAAGCGGCCTCATGCGGTGCGGGTGGTCGGGCTGCGACGACCTCAGAGGGAGGTAGCCATGCACTCGGGCACCCGGTGCTTCAGAGATGCTGAGGGCCACGGCCCTCGCGTCCGACCCTGTCACTGATGGCATCACAGGACCTGCTGGCGCAGCTCTTGCGACTGCTTCCATAGGGTTTAAGGTTTCAGAAGGGACTGTCATATGGCCTGGGTTTTTGCAACCCTTAAGGTCTAGCAATTAGGGTCTTGTGACTGCTCCCATTTGCTTGAGACATCCGACCTGGTGGATACGGCAAGCCGCCCATTGGGAACATTGGCCTTAGACGGGGCACGACCGCAGCTGCTCCTAAGACTCAGCTTCAGAAGCATGGCTTTCTGCTGTGCTTCTACCGTCCACGAAAACGGAAGCACCACGAAAAGGAAACGGACACAGAGACTCATGCCTGTTTCCATTAAGATGGACTCCAACCCCGCATGCCATGCAAACCCCCCAACTCAACACCCTAAACCCCATAGGGCCCTACATAAACCCTGAGAAAATCCCCCCCCAAAAAAAAAAAACTCTGCAGTTGCAAAGACATCGCTGCTAGCGGAGGGACGCCGGGCTATCGCGGCTGGGCCCGTAGCCTTCTTCGGTCCGGGACTTCGGTGCTTCAAGATTTAGAGATTCGGATGTTCGGGCTTGGAGATTGGGATTTTCGAGCCTTGCAAAAATGTGATAAGCAATTCGGGATGTCGGTGCTTTGGGGCTTTGGAAGCTTAGGGTCCAGGGTTCGGGCCTTGGTGCTTAGGATGCTGGATTCGGGAAGCTGCTTCAGGTCTTTGGGCATGGGATTGTGATTCGGGGTTGAGGGGTTGGGTTTCGGGTGCAGGGTGGAGAGGTTGGGTTGTTCAGGGATGCAAGGGTTGAGTTTCGAATTCTGCCTACCAAGGCTTCAGGGTCTAGGATTTTAGGACCGACAGGGTTGAGGCTTTTGGACTCCTGCCTACCAAACCTTCCAAGGGTTTGGGACCTACAGGGTTGAGGCTTCTGAGGTTTCGGGGAGCAGGATGATCCGGGTGGCTACCTTAACACGCAAGACCCTAGAAGCTTAGCCCCTTAGGATGGGGGGCCCTTGTAAAACGTCTGAACCCTAACACACTAAACCCTGAACCCTAACGCCCTGAAGACCAAAACTCCACAAAACCTAAACCCTAACACCCAACCCCGAAATTCTCTACGTCTATCTCGCCCGGATCGTCCGCTGTGAACCTCAACGTAATATGAATCTCCAAACCCCTAATAACCCTACAACCCTGAACGCCCTGAAATCTCAACTACCCTTTAAGCCCTAAACCCTGTAACACCGAAACCCTAAACCCTAAATTTCAATCAGACTTTGAAGTGCTCTTCAAGAGCACTTCGAATATTATTATTACTATTATTATTATTCTTATTACTATTATTATTGTTATTATTGTTATTACTATTGTTCTTGTTAATATCATTAGAGCCCTGGAAGGCTCGGTGCTAGACCTTCCCCGGCGCTTCTTTGCCCCAGCGCGCCTGAGAAGCAGGCTTTAAGGCTTTGGGGTCACCGCGCTTGGGGTTTAGATTGGGGTGTATAGGGTTTAGGGGTTTCGGGGTGACACAGTTTAGGGTTTAGGACTCGATGGTTTCGGGTCTAGGGTTTATGGTTTAAGGGTTAGGGAAGGTACAGGGTTTAGAGCATTTAGGGTTAAGGCTTAAGGGCTTTAAGCTTTTAGGACTCTAGGGTTACAGAGCTTACAACGGGCTGTTCATGCGGCGTTCTAGGAGTTTCGAACGGTTTTGGGACTAACAATCCAGGCTCGATGGTTTTCAAGGAGTTCGAGGGATGGAGGCTTAGGACACAGGTTTTGAAGTTTTAGATTTTTCGGCTTAGGGTGGCTTGTGAGCCCCGAAGTTCGAAGCGACAACACCAACAAAGCAGAACTAGCAAGACAAAGCACAACAAGAGCGGCAACAACAAGAACATGATGATAACAGGAAGAAGACAGGAAGCTCGAATGAATGATCATCGGTGAAGGACGCTAATCCTGAGACGCCCAGAGTGTCGGGGGAAGCGGCCGCTTCCAGGAATAGCTATTGTACGACTTCATAGGATTCTGATATGATTTCAAATCCTTCCGGTTACGATTTTCTTATGGTTTACGATTTGGACACGATTTCGTTACGATTTTGATACGCCTCCAGGGCTGGCTTTGATGTGTTTGCTATGTTTCTGATATGGCTTTCGGACTTGCAGCTGAGCTGCTTTCCGAGCCGTGCTGTCCCGCGTAGCCGTACTGAAATCGCAACCAGAACCGTATCAAGATCGTAAACGAAAACCCTCAGCAATAAGGAAACCATAAGATGATCATCATACAGCAATTCCCGGCGCATACCCTTAATTACTTTGCCAAGAGTGGGCGTCACAAGCTGATCTTAGCTGTTGCACTTGGTAGGATATTCCTTCGAACATCGAGAGTCATTAGCTGATGCTTGTAAAGCATT